TAACATTATGTCTATGAGAGACTAGTTTATGTTTTGAGGATTGGTTCACACAAATGCTTAGTTCACACAACTCATGGTTCACCCAGTTCATGATGTACTGTATTATTTTCATAATTAATTAGTTTAGTACAGCCAATCCAAATAGTGTACTCTACTGTGTAATAAAGTACATTTGGCACACTAATCAGACTGTGTATTGTAATTAAAAATTGATTTTATCTGTGTTAACAAATATTAAATAATAAATATTAATACACGGATATTTCATGATAAGTATAAGATGAGTTTAATTTCAATTTATTCATCGCCTTAATAGCAATGAATTTAATTAATTAATAGTAAAGAATTTAATTAATTAATAGTAAAGAATTTAAGAAACAAATAGTAAATACCACTTACATTGGAGGAAAATACAAAATAATCTATCATTTAAATCGGGGTCAATCGGGTTCTCATTACATTAAGTCATTGCTAATTAACAAATAATGAAAATAATTAATAGCAAAGCATTTGTTTAAAATCACAAAATAAATTAAAATTTACTCAATTTTTAATTAAATTAAATTTATTAAAATAAAATAGATTTAAAGTGTTAACAGATGAATAGAAAATTAATATACTCCCTTCACCATAAACCTAAGCATAAAACATACAGGCAGTTGTTTTAGGTAATAAATTATAATTATTATAATTTAACATTATTAATACAAATATGTAAATAATACTCTGTATTTTAACACACCGTAATTAATAATTATCATTATTAAAAGAACATAGTAAATTCATATTAATAGTATGAATAAAATAATAAATTATTATTTTTTAAAACATTTTAAACATTAAGTTAATACTAATTATATTATTCAACAAATATAAATTATATATACAATCATATTATAAATATACATACATGTATATTAATGTAATATAAAAATTAAAATAATTGCTTTATTTTTTGTGTGTACATTAAAAATAGTATGCATTAAAAATCAATTTAAAAATAATTATCATTATAAATATAATATTGATTTAAGTTTGATATGTGATCACAATTATTAGCTTTTATTGTTTTATATTTTGAATTAAAGCTTCTAATATAATTGTGTGTTAATGTGATGTACACTACTATTCTCTATCTGTTTAACTAAGATCTCTATAATTATAAGATAATTAAAGGTATGACAACAAATTCATGAATTTATAATAATTCTAATTACTATTATTATTAATACAATAATTATAACCTCTATCTTATATAAAAATGAAACTTTTGATAAAATTATATATAATTATTGTAAAATATATATGTGTTGATCGATATATAAAACGATCATATGATATGTCAAACAAAGGAGACCTTCGATTAGTGGTTAAATAAATTAAATGTTTAATTCTGTTTGCAATCAATGTTTTGACAAATATTATCACAATTGTTATGACTTTCAATAAAAATTATTTTGACAATAAATTGCTATTAAACTATTGTATGTAAATATCGTATATATCCTTACCTTCACATTTATTGGATTATAATTAAAATGCACTTTTATTTAATTATTTTCTGACCAAATTTAATAATTCATGAATCCTTCGTTAGATTTTATTATTTTTATTTATCAAACTGTAATTATTGAGTGATTGTATGCTATTTGAGTCATATAACTAAACCGATAGTTAATCGATCAAATCCGTAGGTTTATTGTAAAATTCATCCGATTTTATGATTGATTTGTTTTCTAATATAACTTAATTATAACCTCTATCTTATATAAAAATGAAACTTTTGATAAAATTATATATAATTATTGTAAAATATATATGTGTTGATCGATATATAAAACGATCATATGATATGTCAAACAAAGGAGACCTTCAATTAGTGGTTAAATAAATTAAATGTTTAATTCTGTTTGCAATCAATGTTTTGACAAATATTATCACAATTGTTATGACTTTCAATAAAAATTATTTTGACGATAAATTGCTATTAAACTATTGTATGTAAATATCGTATATATGCTTACCTTCACATTTATTGGATTATAATTAAAAAGCACTTTCTATTTAATTATTCTCTGACCAAATTTAATAATTCATGAATCCTTCGTTAGATTTTATTATTTTTATTTATCGAACTGTAATTATTGAGTGATTGTATGCTATTTGAGTCATATAACTAAACCGATAGTTAATCGATCAAATCCGTAGGTTTATTGTAAAATTCATCCGATTTTATGATTGATTTGTTTTCTAATATAACTTAAAGCAAAAATATTAATTATGAACACATAAAAAGACAAACACCTGATTAACCTTGGACACATTGTAAAATATATATATTGATTTGTATTAATAGCAACTGGATATTAGTAATCAATATTAGTACCACAACCTTATTAAACAAATTCTAATTTTCGTGTCATATAAAATCAATAGGAAATTCACAACAAATTATTGATGTATTTTGTCAATAAAACACGATTGTAAAATCTCTCTCTCCCTCCCTTCTTTTTACTTTCTCTCCCCCTCTCTCACACACATCCGAATCAAATATTTACAATTAAATATTGAGTATTTCAAACAAAAATGGGTCAGTTGGTAACGCATTTTGCATACAAGTGACAAATCCAGACATAGCACAGGTATGTCAAGTAGATTCTCTTCAGACTATAACTCAAAACGAGGTAATAAATGGTAAAATGTGAGGTAAAAATGGATTCAAAGACCATTTATAATTAGTTTGGCCTAAAGGAAGGGCCGCACAGTTAGCTCACTAATGGATAAATCATGGCTTTCAGCAATTTATAGGAGAATTACCAATCATTCAAACATTCTTGTGTTTGACTTATAATAAAAAATATAATAAATTTCAATATTTAATGCAATCAATAGTGTGTTAATGTTTGCGAAGGCCTTTCCTTTTTGTTCAGATTCCGTAAAACATGATAATTAATGGCTTGTCGTTCAAACCATTTATAATATACAGTGGTTTGTGTATATTTATAGAGAATTTCATACTTCATATAAATTTCACTAACGAATGGAAACAACAAAACATTTCAAATATGCTGTAGGATTACCAAATGGAATCACATGTACAAATAAATCGCTGTAAATCACATCAATTGACACTTAAATTATAAATCATGAGATGAAATGTCTGTAAATTAATTTTAATTCCACAACTTATAGTCCGTCAAAATCATAGTTAATATATTAATTTGAAATCCTTTATTTCATTATCAACACAAATACTCAACCTTTAAGTTAATTACAAGTACCCGTATAACAATTGAAATATTTAAATTAAATTTATTTTATAATATTATATATTGATTGTATAAAAAATAAATTATTAAAAACTAAATTATTAATACTATAAGTATTTAGAAAGGAGAGAGAGAGAGAGAGAGAGAGAGAGAGAGATTTAAAAATTCTATTAAAAAATAATTCACATTGAATATAGCGATAGCGAAGTCATACAAACAGTTAAAATCCTAAAAATACTGCTAAATTAAACTAATGTTTAGAAAGATTTAAATTATATCTAAATATTTAAACTTTAAATATTAGAAAATAATTCAAATAAAATAATAAATGTTACATAATTTGAAGACATTTAGTATTATAATTAGGGAAGAATTCAAATATAAAATCATTTAATAATTCGTATAATCCTGGGGTGAATGTTAGGGCGTTGAGCGGCCGTACGTTTGCGCCATTGAACCCATTTGGCCACTTCTGGCTGCCTTTGATCACCCAATTGTTCCAACTGTTTATAATAGGCCTCACGAATGGCCCGAAAGGTGGCGGCGGACGAGTAGGGGAGAAGAGTGACCGGATCGAAGTAACGCCCCGGCAGGTGACTGATCGGACAATACAACTTCTGCTTCACCACCGGCTGTCGTCTCTCTGGGAAGTACTCTTTGAACGTCTTGTCGTCAGTGAATGAGATAAAAGTTCGACAACACTTCCCGGACACACACTCTCGAGGCTCAACAGGTTCTTCATTCAACACCTTTTCCTACAAATATATTCAAAACTTTCAATATTTTCATATTTCATACATTATATTCTGAATTACAATACAAATGCACATTAAATACAATTATTAACATTATTAATATCAACGATAGAAAGTGTTTAATAATAATAAGATTAAAGTTAACTCCAATTAACATATAATAAATTGTAAGATAATGACAACTAAACCTCATTGAGTTGTTGAGTGGGGTTAGGGTTGGTTTGAGTGGTTTGTTGTGGCAATTCCTGGATGAGAGGCATCGCCACCGACTGATACCTAACGTACGGTCCTTTAGGGCTTTCCTTAACTAATTTGATTTTCTTGGACTTCTCTAACTCCAACTTCCGGTATCTCTCCAACGACTTCAGATTCAACGCTTCCGTCTTCCGAGACTCCTTCAGCATCTCTTGTTGAGTGAGCTGTCGGTACTGCGGAACTGCGTTGCGGCCCGACTTGCGTCTCATCTCCGACTCCTTTTTGGCCACTCGGAGCCGGTGTTCGGTCTCCCGAGCGTTCTTTCGCGTCGACTCCCGGAACCATTTCTTCGGCGAAATGCGAGACTTTGTGGGCGACGACAGCGCACCCAACGATGGCGGACGTCGAGCCCCACCACTCCGAGTGCTACTACCGGCGCTCTGACCGCTTGTGCCACTCGTACCCGCCTCTGACTTCACCGAAACCGACGGTTTCGTGGGAACAGCTTTTTTGGCCACAGGTTTGGGCTCTTTGTAAACCGATTTGCTTTTCATTCGTCTCTTCCGCTCTCCCTCTTCGTTGTCATCACTAATCGGTTCGTCGTTTTCATCAATACTGAAGTCGGAGTCAATCTCGTCGTGAGAGTCGCTCTCATCCGACAGGTAATCGTTGTCTTCGGCCTCCTATCACATCAATGACACACGTGTTTAGTATGCAATCAATACAACACATATACACACAAATGGATGACTAGTCATCACTTGCCAAACAAACACACAATTAAAGTGCAAATAATGGTCACAATTGCGACAATCAATGAATACCTCTTCAAAGCCGCCGTAAGTAGTCTTATAGAAGTCGTCGACCACTTCCTCCCTATCCAAGAGGGACGACATCTTCGCGCCCGCATTGGCCCGTCTCTCACGCGTGACGGCCAACGGCTCAACACTTTTATCACTCATTTCTCTGCTAATTGTCTGTAAATTACAATTCAATTCAATTGAAAACATGCAATCATTTCATGTTTTGTCTCATTGTTTAATATATGGTAAGTTTCACACAAATAACGTCTGATATTTTAGCGTATCATAAAAACCCCTTTTGAAACATTGATTGAGAAATGATTGAATGAATAAAATGTTTGATAACATTGTTTACATCATTTGTGACTCAAATACAGCGGAGAAAATGATTAGTGAAGTAAATGCACACATTTTGGGCCTTTTTATGTTTACTTACTTTTATAAAGTAAAGTATAAAACAATTGAAATCAATAATTATTTGACTTTTTAACAAAAACTGAGTTCTGACAAAGTTGTGAGTAAATTAACTTTATACTACAATAAGTAAATTAAGTAATGTATGATGGGTAAAGTAATTTTTGTATTGTAATTTGTTGAACAATACTTTTGCCACAATTGAATCAATTTAAGTACTCAACCAAAAAGATATACATAACACATACATATGTAGTATTCATAGACATAATTATTCACTTAATTGAGTAAAGAATATTCCGACACTTATTTATGGCATTATTTTGAATCCATTTATTTTCAGTGCAATAGAAGGTAAACTTGACTTAAGTACAATATATCAAGAAATTATAGATTTATATGTATTTATAGAGATCTTAGTTAAACAGATAGAGAATAGTAGTGTACATCACATTAACACACAATTATATTAGAAGCTTTAATTCAAAATATAAAACAATAAAAGCTAATAATTGTGATCACATATCAAACTTTTGATGTTTAACTAAATGTTGAACATGTGTAAACGTTGTCAGGCGTCTCATGAACAGTATAAACTAATGCTTACAGTGCACTTGTTGTTATTCACAATGTCTCACATTGTTATTCAAATGTAGTCAAATGATTTTATCGCCAATTAATTAGCACTACAATTTTTACCTACAATTCCTAATGCCTATAGATAAATTATTGATTGTGAAATATAGATGTAAATTATACAGTACATAAATTTTCTATTAATTAAATAATATTCTGTACAGATTTACATATATTAATTTCATAATTAATTAGTTTAATACAGCCAATCCAAATAGTGTACTATACTGTGTAATAAAGTACATTTGGCACACTAATCAGACAGTGTATTGTAATTAAAAATTGGTTTTATCTGTGTTAACAAATATTAAATAATAAATATTAATACACGGATAATTCATGATAAGTATAAGATGAGTTTAATTTCAATTTATTCATCGCCTTAATAGCAATGAATTTAATTAATTAATAGTAAGAATTTAAGAAACAAATAATAAATACCACTTACATTGGAGGAAAATACACAATAATCTATCATTTAAATCGGGGTCAATCGGGGTCTCATTACATTAAGTCATTGCTAATTAACAAATAATGAAAATAATTAATAGCGCAGCATTTGTTTAAAATCACAAAATAAATTAAAATTTACTCGATTTTTAATTAAATTAGATTTAAAATAAAATAGATTTAAAGTGTTAACAGATGAATAGAAAATTAATATACTCTCTTCACCATAAACTTAAGCATACATACTGTATAACATACAGTCAGTTGTTTTAAATAATAAATTATAATTATTATAATTTAAAATCATTAATACAAATATGTAAATAATACTCTGTATCTTAACACACCGTAATTAATAATTATCATCATTAAAAGAACATAGTAAATTCATATTAATAGTATGTATAAAATAATAAATTTTTATTTTTAAAACATTTTAAACATTAAGTTAATACTAATTATATTATTCAACAAATATAAATTATATATACAATCATATTATAAATATACTTTACATACATGTATATTAATGTAATATAAAAATTAAAATAATTGCTTTATTTTTTGTGTGTACATTAAAAATAGTATGCATTAAAAATCAATTTAAAAATAATTATCATTATAAATATAATATTGATT